GGGGTTGTGTGTATGTGGGGGTGGGGTCTTAGGGGATTGCCCCTACATAGGCTTCCATCATTACTGCCACACTATAAAAGCAGAGTGGTGATTAAAAGGACTTGATTGATTCGACTCTCATTGGGACGGAGCCGTCCTCGTTCCGTCACTGGTCTCTGCAAGTTTGTGTGTGTGTGTGTGTGTGTGTGTAAATGTATTTAATGTGCCAAGATGCAGAACATTTAAATTAAAAAAATTAAATCATTCACTTTGCACATATTTACAATACATTTTATTAAAGGGAAGAAAAAAATTCAGTTTAATTTTTTTTTTTTTTTAATGGTCCTAAGAATTTGAATGTTTTTGTGTTGGTAAACAGGTGTGTTTGTGTTGAAATATGTGATCTGGGGCAGGACGTGTGTGTGTGTGGTGTGGTGTGGTGAGTGTGTGTGTGTGTGAGTGAGAGAGGGAGGGAGAGAGAGAGAGAGAGAGAGAGACTGTGCTCCCATGTCGTCAAGAGGTGGCCCCACTTCCTCAGTTTTCACTCGCCTTTTGTCTACACTCTGTACTCCACTCTGCTCTCTCTCTCTCTCTCTCTCTCTCTCGCTCACACACACACACACTCTCCATCCCACCCTGAGAGACAGAGACAGACAGAGACAGAGACAGAGACCCTGCCGTCTGACACAAAAGATATTGATTTTACTATCTGCTGCGATGAATGATCTTCCTGGGCCAATTTCTGAATTTAGAAATGAGTTCAATACTAATAATGATATTGGAAAGATTCTTTAAACTGTCGAGGGGAGAGTGGGAGAGAGAGGGGGGACAGAGGAGAGAGAGAGAGAGAATTCTTATTTGTCTTTGGCAAAAAAGGGAAAGGGTTCGATTCCTCAGGATTAAACACAGACGACACAGGTCCTACTGTCTGCCCTCAGTAATTATTTTCTCCTATTTGCCTTTTGTGTCTGAGGAGGAGTTATTTTGTTTTATTTTTTATTTTTTACAGAAATACTTTTTAACAACCTAACTTTTATATATCGTCGGTTTTCCCTTCACCCTTTTTCCCCCACTCTGCTGCTTTTTATGACGCGCTCTCCGGCGTGCGGCTCTCCCGCCGGCTCCGCTCCCTCGGATCCATTCATATATTTCATGCGTCATAAAGACACGACGACTTCACTTTTCTATTTTGCGTCGCACAAATCCCTCCATAAAATAAGAAAACAGGCACATAAATATTTAACGTGGCCCGTGTTTAGACGGTAAAGAACGGTGAGAGTCAAATTAAACAACAGAGAGGAGAAGGAAGGAAAAAAAGGAACATTTCTGCTAATATTTTATTTCTGGCTGAGCATTAATATTTGGGTGGTGGAAAAAAAAATACAAAAAAGGTGAAATAAAACATTAGGAGCAGCCATGTTGAGCAGCACGTGGTGGTGGAAATACTGTGTGTGTGTGTGTGTGAATGTAGGGCATGTTTGAATTTTTGAAGAAATTGCACCTCTGACTTCATTTATGTGTTTGCATATAATGAGTGTTTGCATATGTGGAGCGTCAGATTCCTCTCATCTCTCCTCCTCCCTCCTGCTTTGTCTATTTGGGCTGGCGGGCAGCGGCCACGGCGCAGGGTGATGTGTGTTAATCAGAAGCCCCCCGTGCCCCCGTGGAGGTGTTAATTCAGCCCCCCCCCCCCTCCCCGTTACACAGAGGTGTAGATTAACAGATAAGGGAGGTCTGAGCGAGGGTCAGTGAGATACGGACCTGACTGTGTGTCAGACACCTGCCTGGATTAAGCCGCCGGCTTCTGTCTCGGTTGTGCACAGGTCAGAGGTCAACCATTTACCCAGTTCACCGGGCTTCAGGTTTTTTTTTTTTTTTTTTCTTCTTTCGTTTCCCAGGTCGGCCCGCATCTGCATAAAGGCTCTGGCATCTGTATGCTTCGGAGGGCTCGGCTGCACGGGGGGTCCTGAAACGGTGAGGTGGAGAAGAAGAAGACAGTCAGTGTTAGAATCCACCGCAGGAGGATTAGAGTAAATACACTCTGAGGCTCAGGAGGAGATGAGGACTGGGGTAGAATTGTGATTTTTTTTATTTTTTTTATATATTATTTATCATTTATTTATTCATTTTTTTTTATAAAAATCTGATTTAAGCCGGATAGCCGCCTCTAAACCTCAACACCTGAGGATGTTTTGCTTCTTTCTCGGAAATTTTTTCTTGGAGATCGGGTGAGAACATCCTCGGAGAAGAGAGAAAAATATGTGAGGGAGGAAGGGAGGGAGGGAGGAAAAAATGGGACAGGATTGGGCGGTAAGGGAGGGAGAAAAGGAGGGAGGGATGGAGGGAAGGTAAAAAAAAATGCACGAAACATGAAACTCTGCAAATTTGACTTATAACAAGCAAAATTACACCCTGCTGTCATTTAAATTATGGCTGCCCTCTATAAAGGTGTCTTTTAGGTGCATTAATTGAATTCGGCACTATTTCCCAATAATAATCTGTAAAGTTCAGCCGTCCATCCTTCAGCAGATCCCCGCCGCGTACCGGAGGAGTATCTATTTCAGTGGCTTAATTTATTTTCATGATTCGCCGATAATGACGGCCATGCAGGCTGTACATCAGAATTAACCTTCATTTCACTGAGGTATATTACGATGACAGTCCCCGACACATTTCACCTACACAAAGGGCATTCTATTTCTCTCTCTCTCTCTCTCTGTCTCTCCCCCCTTCCTCTCTCTCTCTCTACGTCTGTCTCTTACTCTCTCTCCGTCTCCCCCTGCCTCCCCCCTGTCGCTGCCCCGGCTGTATAATCATCCTCGGCAGACCAAGATTGTTTGATAGCCGATTAATTTTCATAGGAAATCAAGTGGCCAGCTCTTTCTCTTTATTTCACCCCCTCT